CGACGCTAGTTATTATATATTTATTTATGTAATATCGTAAACGTCGTCGTCTTTGTCGTCGTCGCGGCATCTCAAAACGCGAAAGCGACGATTCGTTCGTCATACGAACGAATCGTAAACTCACACATAGAACGAACACGCGCGCTGTACGGATAAAAATCGTAATAGCACTACATATATATATATATATATATATATATGTATATATGCTGTAGTCGTTACGCGTTCGAACTTGCGCTGCGATCGTCGTGTCCGAGAGAGAAATTATTTTTTCGAGATAACGACGTCTGATCGCATATACGCGCTAAACACTAGAGAACGCTTTCGACTAGTAGTAGTATAGCAGCAGCAGCTATACGATTTAGTATTAGCGATCGCGTGTGACATATATATCTGTGTGTGGTGTTGTGTTGTATATTGTTAACCGACCTCAGAGCAGGTGAGACTACCCGCTGAATTTAAGCATATTACTAAGCGGAGGAAAAGAAACTAACTAGGATTCCCTCAGTAGCTGCGAGCGAACAGGGAAAAGCCCAGCACCGAATCCCGCGGTCGATATCGGGCGCCGGGAAATGTGGTGTTAGGGAGGATCCGTTTATCCCGAGGTCGCGCGGCGAGTCCAAGTCCTTCTTGAACGGGGCCACAGCCCATAGAGGGTGCCAGGCCCGTAGTGGCCGCTGCCGATCGCGGGAGGATCTCTCCTCAGAGTCGGGTTGCTTGAGAGTGCAGCCCTAAGTGGGTGGTAAACTCCATCTAAGGCTAAATATGACCACGAGACCGATAGCGAACAAGTACCGTGAGGGAAAGTTGAAAAGCACTTTGAAGAGAGAGTTCAAGAGTACGTGAAACCGTTCAGGGGTAAACCTGAGAAACCCGAAAGGTCGAAAGGGGAAATTCATTCGCGTTTCGGCCGTCGGCGATGAGCGGTCGCGCGACGGACGGCGTTCGCGCGTCGTCCGCGCCTTTCGCTTTTCGATCCGGCGTCGAACGCGTGCACTTTTCCCCTAGTAGGACGTCGCGATCCGTTGGGTGTCGGTCTACGGCTCGCGGTGGAGTCCGTGTACGATCGTTTCGGCGATTCGTGCTCGAACCCGCGATGTTCCGGCCGACTCGCTCGACGGTATACAGATGGCGCGAGGCCGCTACTTCTTCAATTAGCGTCCGACCCACGACAAGCACGTTCGATGCTAAGACGGCGATCGGACCTAGCGCCCGGTTCCGTCCCCGGACGACTGTTGGTCGTGCGGATTTCTCGGACAGACCTCGTTTGAAACGCCGATCTGCGACGCTATAGCTTTGGGTAATTTCAGGACCCGTCTTGAAACACGGACCAAGGAGTCTAGCATGTGCGCGAGTCATTGGGACATAACTAAACCTAAAGGCGCAATGAAAGTAAAGATCCGCCTAGCGCGGATTTAGGGAAGATGGGCGGCACGTCTATAAGCGGCCGCTCCGCACTCCCGGGGCGTCTCGTTCTCATTACGAGAAGAGGCGCACCAAGAGCGTACACGCTGGGACCCGAAAGATGGTGAACTATGCCTGGTCAGGACGAAGTCAGGGGAAACCCTGATGGAGGTCCGTAGCGATTCTGACGTGCAAATCGATCGTCGGAACTGGGTATAGGGGCGAAAGACTAATCGAACCATCTAGTAGCTGGTTCCCTCCGAAGTTTCCCTCAGGATAGCTGGCGCTCGTCTGTGACGAGTTTCATCCGGTAAAGCGAATGATTAGAGGCATTGGGGTCGAAACGACCTCAACCTATTCTCAAACTTTAAATGGGTGAGATCTCCGGCTTGCTCGAACTAATGAAGCTGCGAGAATCGAATCAGAGTGCCAAGTGGGCCATTTTTGGTAAGCAGAACTGGCGCTGTGGGATGAACCAAACGTCGAGTTAAAGCGCCTAAATCGACGCTTATGGGATACCATGAAAGGCGTTGGTAACTTAAGACAGCAGGACGGTGGCCATGGAAGTCGGAATCCGCCAAGGAGTGTGTAACAACTCACCTGCCGAAGTTACTAGCCCTGAAAATGGATGGCGCTGAAGCGTCGTGCTTATACTCGGCCGTCAGCGGCATGTGCGGTCTCGATCCGCGTAAAAACGGATCGGCCATGAAGCTCTGACGAGTAGGAGGGTCGCGGCGGTGCGCGCAGAAGGGCTGGCCGTGAGGCGTCTGGAGCCGCCGTCGGTGCAGATCTTGGTGGTAGTAGCAAATACTCCAGCGAGGCCCTGGAGGACTGACGTGGAGAAGGGTTTCGTGTGAACAGCCGTTGCACACGAGTCAGTCGATCCTAAGCCCTAGGCGAAAGCCGATGTTGATGTGGCGTTGTTTTATAAATATATGTATGTATGTGTGTATATATAAAGAACACGCCCGTCGGGCGAAAGGGAATTCGGTTCCTATTCCGAACCCGGCAGCGGAACCGTACAATAGTCGGGCCCTCGCAAGAGAGTTCGTCGGGGTAACCCAAAAAGACCCGAAGACGCCGTCGGGAGACCAGGGAAGAGTTTTCTTTTCTGCATAAGCATTCGAGTTCCATGGAATCCTCTAGCAGGGAGATATGGTTTGGAATGCGAAGAGCACCGCAGTTGCAGCGGTGTCCTGGTCTTCCCCTCGGACCTTGAAAATTCGGGAGAGGGCCACGTGGAGGTGTCGCGCCGGTTCGTACCCATATCCGCAGCAGGTCTCCAAGGTGAAGAGCCTCTAGTCGATAGAATAATGTAGGTAAGGGAAGTCGGCAAATTGGATCCGTAACTTCGGGATAAGGATTGGCTCTGAGGATCGGGGCGTGTCGGGCTTGGCGAGGAAGCGGGTCGCGGCTGACGTGCCGGGCCTGGGCGAGGTGAAACGTTCTGTCGTATGCGTTCGCGCGTGTGCGGTAGGATTGCGGATCCGAACTCGGTACCGTGCCTTGGCCTCCCGCGGAACCGTCTTGCTGCGAGGCCCAGAGTGCGCTCGCAAGGGCGTTCTGGTGTCCTCTTCGGCCGCCATTCAACGGTCAGCTCAGAACTGGCACGGACCGGGGAATCCGACTGTCTAATTAAACAAAGCATTGAGATGGCCCCTGCGGGTGTTGACTCAATGTGATTTCTGCCCAGTGCTCTGAATGTCAACGTGAAGAAATTCAAGCAAGCGCGGGTAAACGGCGGGAGTAACTATGACTCTCTTAGGCGGTCAAAGGTTCCTGACCTCCACGCGGTGACTGCTGGCAACGCTCATCCACCCGCCTTACCTTTGGTTAGGCATTTGAACGAGGATGACGGCTAACTAGGAACCAGCCCCCGATTACCCGGTCGGGGCCTGTCTGCGGACAGTCATAAGGGGTCGGTATGGAAACCGAGGGCGAGATACAGACCACCTTGTATCTTACCCCTTAGGGGAAGACATGCACTTGGCCCAGCCAGCCAAGTTGCATAGTATCACAGGCTACGACTCGAATAAACATAGCCTCGGAAGATCGGGATGGTGATGGCCCACACCATCCCAAATCCTAGACCAGGGGCCCATGATGATGGGAAATGGCGATAACAAGGACATTGAGATTTTGCTCCCCTATATAGAAAGGTCATGCCCCCTATGCCTCAAAAGAAGCATTAACATCCTGCACATGACCTTAAATGATGAAATAAAACATGTAAAATCTGATCACAAGGATATACAATCAGATTCAAATGCAGGATGTGCTCAAAATGTATATAGCAAAACATGCGGCACTGTGTCACGTCCCCAAGTGCCCGGTGGGAGCTGCTGCGGCAGCCCCACCTCCAGAGTCAACAGACTCAGAGACTGACGGAGTACCAAGTAACAGGCCTATACCCGAATCGGTAGGCGTGGCCTGCCCCGATTGCGGCGAAAGGTACTCCGGCCGCGGTGCACTAACACAGCACCAGCGGCACCGGCATCCACTCACCCGAAACGAAGCTAGGGCAGCGGTACACGGCGGTCTCCTCGACAAAGAAGATTGGTTATCTTTACTGAAGAGGAGGAACAAATATGATGGAGTGCGAACTCCGGTACCGGGGTGAGTTGCGTATAGCAATGCGCATGCGGGAGTTGATACCAGAGAAAACTTTGAAACAACTCCGGGACAAAAGGGCCCAAAAATGCTACAAAGAACGGCGTGAAAGGTACCTCGCAGAAAGAGGGATCACAGCGAGCGCTAGTACTGATGATGACAGTACAGAACCAGTATCCACAGACACAGGGGATGGTAGAGCTACCGTCCCCCAAGAAGAAGCGCCCGAAACCAACAGCTGCGAGGAAGCGGGAGTAGGGGGTGGCTCCCCTATCCCAGTCCCGGAGCTACTCGACGTATCAGCAGTAGCTGCCATTGCAGGGGGTGAAAATAACGTTAATAATATCACCCCCACCGCCGAAAACATAAGTCCGACTCAGACGCCTGACATGTCAGAGAGGGTACTGAATGTCAGTGTAGATGAGTTGGTATCGCCAGCAGCTTCTCCAGAAGAGACACTTTGGAGACAGGATGTTGCTCAGACTGCCCGTAGCTGCAAGTTGACTCGAGCGGCACAGCAACATCTGGAGGTGAACACGGTCACCCAGCTGCTTAGAAATGCAATCTCCGAGGCTTGCGATTTGCCTATGGGGCAGCCCCAATCGCAAATAGATACTTTACATGATAGAGTCACCGCTCTCTTCGTCAGCGAGGAGCGGGGAGTTGCAGGGCGACGAAAGGGAAGGCGTAGAGGACAAAATAAGAGGGTAACAGACGGTACCTCTACGCCCGTACCCAGGATATTTACAAAAAAGAGCCAGGCATTCTTGCCAAGCACGTCCGTAACAACGTGGACTGGCTGGAGGAACCAGGGGTAAAAGCTCCAGCCCAAGACGTGCGGGACCTGTACAAAAAGCTTTGGGGCACAAATCCGTCGGAAGTACAGGTGCCCTTCCTGGGAGAGCCCTCCGAACCGGCACTTGGGTTAGGTACTGTGCTAACCGCCGTGACGGTGAAAGAGGTGAACGCGTCTCTCTCGGATGAAAATGTCCACAGCACCGGGTCCCGATGGTATTAAAAAGGGAGACATTAAACGCGTTCCTGGTGCAAACGAAGTCCTCCAGTTATTTTTCAATTTAATCATGATAAGCGGTAAGATTCCTACCGCCTGGAGGAAGAACCGAACTACTTTGATCCCTAAAGAGGGTAAGGACGGTATGTTAGCTGAAAACTACCGTCCAATTACAATCTCTTCTTTAATGTCGAGAATTTACTTTGGCATTATTGACAGCAAACTTAGGGCAAAAGCACGGTTCTCACCCAGACAAAAGGGCTTCATGAACGAATCTGGGTGCTTCAACAACATCCACATCCTCAATGAGCTGCTGAGGCACTCAAAAGCCAAGAATGGCCTGGTCGTAACGCAGCTGGACGTGTCCAAAGCATTTGATACTGTGCCGCACCAAGCTATAGGACACGCGTTACGTCGCAAAGGTTTTCCCGAACAGGTGGTACGTATCGTGGAAAATGCATATGAGGATGTACCACTATTATAGAACTTAATCAGGCGCCAATCGAGATACGCCTC